TGCTGACTTGATAATCTCAGTCCGATGACTCTGGAAGGCAGCATGAAGTAGTGAGAAGAACACGGGGTTTGGAATCAGACTGAACTGTATTTAAATCCTGCCTCCATGGCTTGTTAACTCTTACAAAAGTCATTAACAAGTTGACCTTGCAAAGCATCAGTTTCCTCACCTTAAAAAGTGAGCAGTATTGACCTCCTGGATCTCATGCAAACATTATTTTCTGAATACTCAATACTAACAAGAGCAAACATTTATGTGGCATTTGTTTGTTATATACCAGCCTGTTCTAAGTATGTACTTTGTATAAATTAGTTCATGTAATCTTCCTAGCAAATCTAGGAGATGTGTAATTACATCATCTCCATTTTACAAATGAGAAATATGAGGTATGGAAAGATTAAGTAAATCACTCCAGTTCATACAGCTAGTAAGTAGCTGAGCTGTGTTTTCAACCCAAGTAGTCTAATTCTAATCTTTGCTCTAAATCACTACATTATAATAACATCATTAAGTTATTTCCCCTCCAACCACCTTAATTCTAATTCATCTTATTAAAATACTTAAAGTATTTACATTTAACGAAAGAGAAAACTGATCCATTACTAAGTTATAGTAACAAGAACTATAATGGCAGGAGTTACTTATTGTTATCAATCTTAATTCACCAACAAAAATGGTAAATCGTTACTGCACCAACTCATTCTCCAAGATCTTAAATATGTTAAACATATTCTAATTATGTAATTTATTTTAAGAAAACCCTCAAGGTAGTCTTAACACTAAGTGAGGCTAACTAATTCTTTACAGTTTTATTACCAAGTAAAAGGCTTCTAAAAGCACATTCCAAATCACAGTGTAACAAAAAAGTACATACAAGTTGACATGTAAACACCAAATTATTACCAATAAAAAACAAACAACAACCAAAAGCTTCATAGCTAAAGATTCTGGAATCTGTGGCACTTTATAAAGGGCTCTGATTTCACAGAATTTCAGAATCCCTGACACCAAGAAAATATTGTGAGAAACAAGCCCCACCAGCACTATCCCAATAAAATAATCCCATGATAACATTAATCCCATTCTGACTTCAACGTATTAAGTTTTTAAAGAAGACAAAGCACACCCTGACAGATCTTTAAAACAGAGAAAACATTAATGAATATCCTTTCACAACTCATGTACTTCCTAATTATTTTTGAGAGAAAATGCACTTAGCAAGAGCAGTATAAAACCATGCTTTGTGCAATACCTAGCAAATAACTGATGTTCAGTTTGCTATAATTCATCAGTAAATGGATTAAACTAAAGCTCCCATTTCTGTTTGTTCTCTAACTTACTGTGGGAAGTCTTTTTCCTACACCCCATCTGCCCCATCTTGTAGCTCTCGAAGCTCTACAACAACTGAAACACCCACAGCCCCCTTAATAGTATTAAGACTTGTTAAAACTGAAATAGTCATAACCCCATTTATATTTAACTTATTATGACAAAGAAGACTATGCAATTTATCATCCTTCTCCCTTAACTCTCCTACTCATTCTCTGTCTCCCTGTCTACCTAAATTCAAGCCACAGAAACCAGTGGCAACATCTCAGCAGCAACCATAGTACAGACCCTTTAATACACGTTTTAGCATCACATTCAACCATTGCAATTTCCAAGAAAATATTAAATTCCATGCCTCATAAGAGCATAAACACATTTTTACTATTTAATTGGAGCTAAAAATGAGCTTTGCAGATTAGGGATAGAAAAGGTTTACATTTTTCAGACAACTAAAATTAGACCATTTTGGTATGCAAAAGACATTATGTACCAAATAAAGCAGTAAATTTAACACTAAAAGCCTTCGGCGGGGAGGGCATTGCTCACAACTGTCTTTCTTTGCATGGTCAGAGTTTCAAGGACCTCTTAGGGCCTCTTTCAAGTACTGTTCTGCATTATCACAGTGATTACCAGAGCACCACAACGTGGTGAATAGAAGGCAAGGAGCAGACTGTCATCAATATCCCTAATTGGTCAGCAATGAGACAGAAAATAGAAACAACTGGTTTCTAAGCCAACAAAAGTGAAACGGATGGAAAAAAAATTGATATCTGGAAACAGTTCTTTCCCATTACTCCAGGGGCATGAATCACTCTGTAGTGCACATGTGTTTCCAGGAAATCCTATAGAAGAGGTGAGAGAACAAATGCATGACAGAGGCATAGTTATGCCTTCACCAACTCACTTTCTCCCTTTCTTCAGGTCCCCTTTTTTATTCCATGCCACCCCCTAAACTCAAACTTCAACCTGAAGAGCCAGTAAATGATCAAAGTATCTAGAGGAGTTAATACTAACTGGACAGAGATGGTCATTTTGGAAGGAGAAAAATTTGCTACTGTGATCATATTTTGTAATTTCTATTACTTCAATTATTTATTGACGGTAGGTAAAGTATAAATAACATACAAAGAAGTGAATAATTAACACGTTTCTAGTCTCTACTACAACCTTGTAACAAGCTAAAAAGGTAAGAGAAATATAAATTTGTCAATCTCAACCCACTAATATTCTAACCACACTCCCCAAAGGTGATAAAGTTGGAACATTGCCCTCTGGCATCCACAGAGAAGGTTGCTGGGCATCAAAATTTTTCTTAACTTGGCTGAAACACTATTTTTCTGTGCCACCCCCCACCCCACCTGCCCAAAACCACTTATTAAATATTTTCTTGTATGGTGCTTTTCTGTTCAGTGGGCTAACCGATTCTTTCATTCTCATAAATAATTGCACAAGAGAATTTAAATGCATCTTTTTTCAAAAGATGGAATCTAAGCAAGCCAAGAATAATCAAAGTTCAGTGACTTGTTAAAGCTTTCGTTGAATATGACCAGTAAAGCCACTATCTTTGTCCTCAAAGAGTCTATATTTCAAGAGTTATGAAAGGACATTATTCAAAAAAGAATAGCTACGTCTTAGGTACACAATCATCTGTGCCAGCATTTGGTCGACAGGTGGCAGGCTTTGAGTTTAGTTTTATTCTCCAGAAATTTCAGTTTTACAAAATGGTGCTTTAAATCTTAACAACCTGTCATTACTTAGGGGGAGAAAATAATCATATCTAATATGTCTTTTGTAGAAAAAGTTAATGTTTATGGAACTCTAAACACTGTTTTACAGTCACCTTTTAAATTATAAACACTTCACTTATAACTACTGTTTCCCTAATATTACCCAGTAGCACACTGCCTGCTGCCCTGTTCACTCACCACCTACTCTGTATCTCATGGCAACTTTGGAAGGGCAACTAAGCTGTGCTAGGCCAACACGGTCCCCTCGTGGTCACCAAGGCAAATTGCCTGACCCAGGTTTTCTCTCTGTGGAAATTGTCTACACTCATTTACAAGCCACAGTTCAGATGCCTTCAGCACCCCCTGTATCTTCATTATGTTTGAAGGCCTCCTACTTCCTCGAACTCAGTGATTCTCAAGGTGTGGAGCACAAGGAAAGGAGATACGAGAGTCAGGGAAACGTTTAGAAACTGGGTCAGTAAGGAGCAACTTTGTGAAATATTAAACATCCCTCTTAGTGGGGCGTCATCTCACCCCACCCCTTGAAATCACAATGTGTCAAGAGAAATAGATGTTACTGAAAGGAGAGTTCTTGAAAAGGAAAAATAAGAAAATTTTAAACAGCTCTTGGGTAATGCCCCTTTTATTCTCATGCCTCATATTCTCCAACAGTAAGGTTTATTTGGGCAGTACAACATCCCTGCAGCTGTACTGAGATTAAGGTAAATGAATCTCTGGCCCTCCTCTTCACAGTCTGTCACTGTCCTGTATGTTATTAGAGAAAAACCACTTACATCTATATGCCGCACCTCACAAAAGGTCTATTTTCTTATTATACTATTTTGTGTTTACAAAAGTTACTTAGGATGAAAATGTAATCAGTGGGCAGCTGGATTCCCAGCTTGAGTGTAAAAGGGGTCAGACAGCTTAGAAAGATCTGGTAGACTCATGGGTTGAGGTGATCTGGAATCTGTTTGTAGGGGAAACTCAGGTATCTCCAGGAAAAGTACTTATCCTAAAGGCAAACAAAGACATGCAAACAAGTTTGCCCAGGCTCCGTCACCCGATTCTGAGGGAGGAGTGACTCTGCATTCTGCATGGAGTTGGTCACTAAGATTTGTTTCTCTCCACCACCACCCTCCAGCACCCCATAGACTCCTATCTGGGTCATAAGGTAAAAGGATTCCAAGAAGAACTGAAAGAAATATTTCTCACTAAAAACCTCTGTAAAACATTAGGGCAAAAAATATTTCTCCTATAGATCTACTCTGCATGGAATACAACGCAGCTCTCACACACCAAGAAATTCAGAGAGTGATAGCGCAGCCCATTACAGTTCCTTAAGGCTGCGTGATTGGATGCAGTTGACAACAGTACTTTTCTGCCATGTTGGGAGCACCCAAAAACAGCCCCTCTGTCATAAATACAAATATCTTTAAGGTGGACACACCCTTGGCCTCAAGGAGGGCAGAGACCTCAGTAGAGGACCTTCTTCACTAATAAAGCCACACAAGGGGCCTCTGAGTTGTAGAATCCGTTGTGAGAACCTGTGAGCCACCTCCAGCCCCAACCAGAACCTCCCAGAAATAGTAAGAGTATGACTTTGAGAGGAAAGAAAGATCCTACAATTTCAGCTGAGGGTAAGGCCCAGAGAAACATAGATTACACAAAGCTAATGCTACTAACATATGAATATTTGAAAAAGTTTTCCTGGAATGTTAAGTATTTTTGTTTTAATGTTTTTCAATCTCCAAGTAAATGGAATGCATGTAATTTCCACTCAAACATGGTAAGGAGTATTAAAATTAAATCACTTATAAACAAGGTCTTGGTTACGATGTGCCATATTCTCCAAACCTCTTTTTAGTAGAAAATGAAACGTTGACACCTTTCCTTTCCCCTCTTTCATTCTCTCTCAACCATATAAATATATAGTTAATATACCTAGGATATTAGCAGTACACTGAAGAATTCCTGAGACGTCTTCAATTTCCTCTTTGTTGGAATGGTCTGCATAGGAGCATCTGTTAGAGATATTGTGGAAATTCTTTTCTGCATCCCTATAACTAAGAAGAAAACAAAATTAGCAGGAGAAATTTTTGAACACATCTGCGTATGCACTCATATATACACACACAAAGCACACAGAGCATATGCATTTGGCATAATCACATTTTAAAATAACTGAGGCTTTAAGACATAATTCTGGCATAACCCACCATTCACATCAGCATTAGCAGTAGAGACCTGGGTCTGGAGGCTATGTGCGAAAAAATTCAGGAAAACCAAAAAAATACATCAGCTTTGTATAGCTAATATCCCTATGTAAGCACTTCGTCACTGCTGATCATCTGTTTCTATAAGGAAGTTGCCTAGAAAAACAAAAATCAACAGTACTAATTTGGTGCACTGGCATTCAACTGTGTTGAAAATAAACACATCTTAAGCTCTATTACAGTCAAGAAGATAGTAGTATGGTGTATGGATAACAAATAACAAATAAAGTGTTTGGAGTCTGGCAGAATCTAAGTCATAGTCTCACCATTTTCTATCTGTAAGACCTTGGGAAAGTAACCTAATCTCTGTTAGTCTTAACTTTCCTCCCTTACAAAAACGGAGGTGCCTCCTGAGTTCTTTTGAGGACACAATGCCTGTGTAACTGGATGTTGGCTGGGACTTTTTGAGTTGCCTCTGAATGAGAGCTAAGACACCAAAGCTCAGAAACATCAAGGCTAAGTGCTCCCACATTCCAAAAGAGTAGCCAAGACCAAAGCTCTCATTCAGGACCTAAGAAGTAACTAAATAAATAGCCACGGCTCTGTCACCCCACCAGCAGCTTACAGAAGCAAAGAGATAGAAAGAATTCTAAAGGATATTCTCAGAAGAGTGAGTAGTCAGCCTAGGAAGAAAGTGCTATTATATTTTTCCCTCCCCTCTTGGAAAAGGAGAGAGAGAGTATTCCCTGCAGAAGCCCAGTTGGTAAGTGAAGGGTTCACAACTGGTAGAGATTGGTGGTTGGGAATCTCATTGCCCAGTGAACATCTGCAGAGACAGCAGATTCCTGATCATACCCCTGTGTCTGACTGAGTAGAAGAAGATTCTGGAGAGAGTTATTGACAAGAAAAAGAAATAGAGCAAAATTTGGAGCAACCTACAGGACCATCATTTGGCAAGGCAAAAATATGAGTTTCATATGGGTTAGGAAGATGCCCCTAAAGAGAAGAAAGCTTGAGATGTCCAGTTGTCGTGCTGCTTTCCCAATCTAGAGGCTGCTGGGGGCAGGAATCCCATTAGCAAGACGGTGTGAGTGCTGTCCATAAATACAGGAGTTGGGGCATCGGAAGCAGTCAGGGCAGAGCCCATACATACACCTCACTGAAGGCATCACAGCCAAGGGAGGACCGTACAACCACCAGTGAATTAAAGAAGGCTTCTGCCATTTTCCATTTCATCCCTGCCTGACACATCAGAAGAGAAAGGGACCCAGAAAGGAATGGTCTGAAAAAGAAGAATAAAAACCCATATCATACCCTCTCTGCACTGTATCCAAGTTCCTCAGGCCAAGGCCTGACCCAGGCAGAGAGAGGGACGTGAGAGTTAGCCTGGATATGAGAGTGAAGATTTAAATTGGTCGGGAGTGGACTTCATAATCCCTGGAAGTACTGAGAAAACAGAGCAATCTGTCCAAGCTAATATCAAAGGGGATTCATCCTAGCATGTCTGGCACAATTGGAGAGAAAAAATAAAATGGTTTCACTTTGTACACCTCACTGAGATCAGACTCCAATAAACCTAAGCAAAATGCTTACCACAGTTTCTAGAACATAGAAATCAATAACATGTGGAACGGACATTAAATACAGACAAATACAGGGTTATTTTTAAATCAAGCTCCATCGTTTTTATGAGAGTGACTTTAGCCAAAATATTTTTTCTCTCAGCCTCAATTCCCTGATCTGTAAAATGAGCTTAATATAATTTTATGAAATATACGATTAGGATTAAATAAAATAACAGATGTAAAGCACCCAGCAGCTTGCCTGAAAGTAATCAATAGGTATTAGCTTTTGCCTAATGTGCTGTTTATGTTCAAAAATATATAGTTTTTCTATGTAAATATATGAAAAAGAAGCTAGGTCATTTTTTAGATAAAATAATTTAAGCCATAAAATCTGACCACGGAAGCGTAAGTAAGTAACATCGTTGAAGTTTGTTTCCCAGAGTAATCAGGGTTCACCCACTCTTAATTCCACTTCTAAGAGTCTACTGAAAATATTCTGGCTTAATTTCTCTTCAATCATCAAAAGAAAAAGAGAACAGAAGGCTGGCTGTATAAAACAAACATAGATCCCACAGTGATAATCGGAGCAACAGACTTTAATTTTAGAGGACTACAGTAAATGGTGTCCCAGATTAATAAGAGTTTGGGCAGCAGCTCTACCCATGATATTAACACAACAATGCTTATTCTGGCAAAAAAGTATAAAACGAGTGGCATGATTCTGAATACATATTTCCTTATGCTTTATTGCTTAAAATATATAATAAGTGAACATTATATCTCAAAAAAATCAATTATCACGTGTTTTTCATGATAGTTTACTAAAGAAATCTCTGCTTTGTCTACACTACCATAGTAATCCATTTTTGTGAGCTATAGACCAGTAGGAGTCATGTAGTACAAACATGAGTAAGAGCAGTTGGGTTGAACACTCTAGAGACAGAAATTTAGGTTAAAAAAAAAAATCCAAAGCAAAAGGAATTCTCTGTAAGAAGAAAACTGTAGCTGGAACATGAACTGGGCATGCCCAGCTCCTGATGCCAAACAACTGATTCCAAACTTTTCAAGGTCCCGGGAATACGGGGAAAAGATACAACAGGAAGACAAAGGGAAGACAATTAACAAAAATTGAGAGCAAGAGTCAGATACTAATTAATAATAAACCAACTAATATATTGACGACCTTGGTGTACCAAGCACTGTACTAACAACTTTATATGATTATGCAACTTAACACATTGTTATCATTAACATTACATTTAAACTTCGCCCTCAACCCTGTTATTATGCCCATTTTTTAAATGAGAAAACTGAGGCTCAGGCATTTTAAGTAACCCGCCCAAGATCATTCAATAGCAAAACTTGACTTTAAGTCTAGTAAGTCTTATATGTCTACCTTCAAAGCACAATCTCTCCCCGACAAAGACATACAGAGAGAAGAAAGGGCACAAGATAATGGCAAGAATGAAATCAGAAAAAAAACGCTATCATAAACAAATATTCCTCTATCACGAGTCCCTTTTAATTCCTAAAGTGAACCCTGCCTGTCTCCTACTGATCCTTCTGCTTCTCACTATTCCTTCCACCTCACACTGACAGAAAACTAGTCCACTCCCCAGAAGCTCGAGTTAAAGAGCAACTAGCATAAAGATGCACACTCAGTGCCCCCTTACCCCTTCCAGGTTGAGGGAAGAAGACTGTGCCACACAAACAAGAAGCTCTCCAAATGAGCATGAATGTGTAGCATTTATTTAGTAATCAAAATTTATCACAAGGTTGCCTGGGCGCGGTGGTTCACGCCTGTAATCCTAGTACTCTGGGAGGCCAAG